TGCGAGGAGTACCCCGGCGTCGCCGCCGCCCTCCGCGCCGCAGACGCGCTGTTCGCTGCACCAGCGGGGGCCCTGGCAGAGGCCGCGGCCGCCGCCCTCGGGCTGCCGGCAGGGGCGCTGCGCGGAGCGGCCGCTGCGGCGATGCTGCGGGGGTTGCGCTACCGGCCAACGGACGGCCACGGGCTGGGCATTTCCGAGCACGTGGACTTTGGGGACTTCACGCTCTGCCACGGGGACGGCCCTGGGCTGGAGGCGAGGGCCGTGGAGGCGGGGGTGCAGCGGTGGCTGGCACTGCCGCCCGGCCAGCTGCTCTTCCTGGCCGGGCCTGGGCTGGAGAAGAAGAGCGCGGGGGCCGTGCGCGCGGTCAGGCGCCGTGGCCGCTGGGCCACCCCGAAGGGCCAGAAGTGGGGGGCCCAGGACGGCCGAGGAGCAGACTTTCCCGGGGGCCAGCGAGCGCGGTGAAGATGCAGGGGCTGTGGTTTTCGGGTCGCTCCTCAGGTCGAGGGCGGGGGACCTGTTCGTGGCCGAGGGCTCACCGTGGCCAGAGAAGCTCCTTCGTTCCTTACCCAGCGCTGCGTGTGGTTGAACGATGACTGCCACCGAGACCGGCCAGCCCCCGGGGTACCAGCACTGGCGCTTGCGGAGGGTCTCTTATGATCGTTCCCGGGCTCCCTGGCCCTGCGGGTGGCTGGGGGAACGAAAAATTGCATAAACGTAAAAACTCGGAGGTCCGCGCGGATGTCTCGGATCAGCGCTGGGGCCCCTTGGCGGCGCTTCTGGCGCTGGGGCCCCTTGGCGCGCTCTGCGCGCCAGGGAGGGGGGTCCAGCGCCGATCCGAGAGCGCGAACCTCCGGGTTTTTCTGTTTCTGCCATTTTTCGTGCCCCTGGCGGCGGAGCAGCCACGGGTCAGGCACCGCGTGGCGGCGGGGGCGGCGGAGCGCTTCTCGTTCTGCCGGCTGCATCGCTGCGGGGGGGGGGCGGCCTGGGAGGACCGGCCGTCCGCGGAGGGTCCACGGCCACAGCGTGTCCCATCCTCTTCCCGGCTCCTCCCTCTACGACAACGCATCATGAGCGCTGCTCTCCTCTCTCCTCCGATCCCGTCTAGAAGATCGCCGGCCCTCTCCGCGCACTGTTCTCTCTCTCTCTCTCTCTCTCTCTCTCTCTACACACACACACACGATTCCAGAAGTTGTTCACGATGTGTTGCAATATGGTCGCGTTCTGGTCTTTCGAGATGGTGTCGTGTTGTCGTTGCAGCGGTGACCTCATTCTAGGATCGGCGCTTTGCTCCCGTCCTTCAGACTGGTGCTCTCGCCCCAGCGCGGGCCACTGTTCTGGATTCCTGCTATTTTTCATCGTTGTCGCCCCCCCTTTTCCCCTCCGCCTTCCATGATCCTCCTGCCCCTCCCGGTCCTTCCACTCCAGTTCCTGCTACTGCTGCTGCTGTTGCTCGTCCTCGTTCCCCTTCTTCATCCTCATCTTCTCCTGCTCCTCCTCCTCCTCCTCCTCCTCCAATGTACGGAGTTGCCCTGTTCCGATGCGCATAGGCGATGGTTTTTGTTGGAGTTCTAGGAGATCGGCGCAATGGGAAGGGATGAGAGGCAGGGGTAGGATGTCAGATGTTGTGCGAGCGCACCCAGCTCGTCTCCGTCCTCTCTCTCTCTCTCTCTCTCTTTCTCTCCGGTCTAGCCTTGGAGTCAGCATCCCAGGCGTTTTGGATCCTAATTGCAGGGTTGTCCCTGGGCCAATTCTACGTAACTTTTTACGGAGGGCGAACTTGGCCCCAAGGGAGCGGTTCTTCTTCTTATTATTTGTATTAGTATTATTATTATGTTTCTTCTTCTTTTTCTTCTTATTATTAGTATTATTATTATTATTCGTATTCTTCTTCTCTCTCTCTCTCTCTCATTCCCATGCTCTTCCTCGTCACTACCGCGCTCCTCCCCCCTCGCTCGCTCGCTCACTCGCTCGCCGCTGGCCTGACAGACCGCGCAGAAGCGCGACGGTTGGCCAGGGCCTTCTGGGGCGGCCCTCGGATTGTGGCTCGCTTCCCCCCCGGGGCCGTTGGGGGACGGCAAGGCCGAGCGCAGCGTCGTGACCAGTCCCCTTCAGTCCCTGCTGCACGGCAGCGCATTGGAAAGAACCTCGCTGCCAGGTCCGACGATCAGCGATGGACGCTTTTGTTCTCTTGGAGGGACCGCGGAGGCCCCTCCACGCCCTGTGGGCGATGCCGGCAGCTGTGTATGATTCAGGCGATCGCAAACATGGATCAGAGGGGCGTGGATTAGTGACGGGTCCCGTTCCCACGGTAAATATAGCGGACCTCTGCCGCCGAACGGGGCGGCATTGGCCGCATCTTGGGGAGGGCACCTCCCCCGATCCATGGAGTTTTTGGCGACCGCACGCCAGATCCATGGATCGCTAATCCATGTTTGCGCGCCCCCGATCCTCGTCATCCTCGCCGTCGGGAGGCCGCCGTAGGAAGTCTCCGTGATAAGGGGCCGGGAGCTCAGGAAGCCGCAGGGTGGCCCAGAGAAGGCGAGAGGAAGGCAGGAGGATCCCCCCCCAAAAGGAAAACAGGCGCCCCCTCTGGCCTTCCGCTTCCTTTTCCATCCCCATGGTGCTCATCCTCGTCACCACTTCGCCACAGAACTCCTTATTGCAACCCCCACGCACACACCCGTTCCGGGCACTCGCCGCGGAACCCCCGACACACACACACACACACACACAGACACACACACACACACAAGCACGCACGCACACGCACGCACGCACGCACGCACGCACGCACGAACACACACAAACACACACACAGAAACAAACTCTCTCTCTCACACACACACACACACACACACACACACACGCACACACGCACACACGCACACACGCACACGCACACACGCACACAAGCACACAAGCACACACACACACACACACACACACACACACACGCACACACGCACACACGCACACACGCACACACGCACGCACACGCGCACGCGCACGCGCACGCGCACACGCGCACACCCACACCCACACCCACACCAACACCCACACCCACATCCTTACTTTCTATGATCAAACACCCCCGCATCCCCACCTAGCCGGCCGATAGCAACCCCTCCGTCCTACTTGTCAAAAAAAACAATACAAACTCAATTTTTTCTAGCCAGCATGTCGTCGAGTTTCGCAAAGTGTCAGGAATGGGACGGAGTGAACGCCGCTTGGGTAACCCCAAGCGGGTGGTCGCGTCCTACCCATCAAAAAATTACTCACTGCGTGGAGCTCCCAATATGTGCATCTCATGTTATATGTCATGCCATAGCGAGCGTCTGTTCATGAACGTCCTACCCCCTGGCGGCTCCCCTGAGGGGGGGCTGAAACCAGCGCCCCGCCTGAGACATCCTCACAATCTGCTCTGAAAGCGAAGGATGTTGGGCATGAAAACGAGCAAACCGCCTGAGACATCCCCGGCCGCGAACGGGCCCGTGAGAACACCCCTGGCGGCTCCCCTTAGGGGTGCTGAAACCAACGCCCCGCCTGAGACATCCTCACAATCTGCTCTGAAAGCAAAGGATGATGAGCATGAAAAACGAGCAAACCGCTTGAGAGATCCCCACAAACTGGCCGCGAACGGGCCCGTGAGAACACCCCTGGCGGCTCCCCTTAGGGGTGCTGAAACCAGCGCCCCGCCTGAGACATCCTCACAATCTGTTCTGAAAGCAAAGGATGTTGGGCATGAAAACGAGCAAACCGCCTGAGACATCCCCACAAACTGGCCGCGAACGGGCCCGTGAGAACACCCCTGGGGTGCTGAAACCAGCGCCCCGCTTGAGACATCCTCACAATCTGCTCTGAAAGCGAAGGATGTTGGGCATGAAAACGAGCAAACCGCTTGAGATATCCCCACAAACTGGCCGCGAACGGGCCCGTGAGAACACCCCTGGCGGCTCCCCCTAGGGGTGCTGAAGCCAGCGCCCCGCCTGAGACATCCTCAAATGCTGCCGTGCGTTGAGTAACTCAGATTATGAGAAGGTCTGAGTATGTGTAGGTCTGAGTATGAGTAAGTCTGTATATGAGAACGTCTGGGTATGAGAAAGTGTGAGTATGAGTAAGTACGTGTATGAGTAAGTCTGTGTATGTGTACGTCTGGGATGAGTAAGGCTGAGTATGAGTAGGTCTGGGTATGAGTAAGTCTGAGTATGAGTAAGTCTGTGTATGAGTAAGTTTGGGTATGCGTAAATCTGAGTATGCGTAAGTCTGTGTATGAGTACGTCTGGATATGAGTAAGTCTGAGTATGAGTAAGTCTATGCATGAGTAGGTATGTGCTCTGGGTGTGCTTTTGTTCTCTGGAGACGGCGGCGTCCAAGAAACAACAAGAACCCCATCTCAGGATATGGGAACAATACAAGATCAACGTTTTTCTGGTCAACATGCACTTTCTTGTCGTCGACGCTGCGAAAAGTGTAGCAGGAATTGGACGCGGCGCACATCGCGCGCGGACGCTTGGCCAACCCTACGCGGGACCCCCCGTCCTACCTGTCAAAACAACACCGCAACGTCGACGTTTTTCTTGCCACCTTGTACTTTCTCCTCGCCGGCGCTGTGAATCGCGTAGCGGGAATGGGACGCGGCGCACATCGCGCGGGGACGCCTGCTCGTCAACATGGACTGTCGTGTCGTCGACGCTGCGGCCCGTCGGGTTGAGGAGCTGGGCGGGCGGCGAATCAAAATGCCTCACGCAAATGCGGTTCAAGCAAGTTCCTCAGGAGACCCCCAAGGGGCCGAAAAAGGCGTCCAGGAGGTCCTGGGGGGCAACACAAATATGGATTTTCATGTGATGTTTGAAGGATTGTGAGGTTACCGCCTATTTGTGTTGACAATGTTCCAACCCAGAAGATAGATCCAAGAGGCCCTCAGGCGCATGCCAGAAAGCTCCCAGGACGTCCTGCGAATTCCCAAGAGGCATTCTCCTCTTCCTCTTCAGTTTCTCCCTCCCTCTCTCCCTCCCCTCCTCCTCCTCCTCCCCTTCCTCCATGCGCGGCAGGAGCAAAACGATTGGCGGTGCAATGCGCGTGGCTGGACTGAGACGCGGCGCACTTCGCGCGCTGGACATGTTGTCACCGACGATGCAACGTGAGAGGCCGGAGCGGGGCGCGGCGTACATCGCGCGCGGTTTTGTTTCCCGTCGACGTTGTTCGGTGCGCGGCAGGAATAGGCCGCAGCTCATGTCGCGCGCTGAACGTCTAGCCGCACACGATATAAGATGAGCGACAGGCGTCGGACGCGAACACACACACACACACACACACACGCACACAAACACACACACACACACACACGCACACACACACACACACACACGCACACACACACACACACACACACGCGCGCGCACACACGCACAAACACACACACACACACAAGCACGCACGCACGCACGCACGCACGCGCACGCCACACACACGCACACACACGCACACACACGCACACACACACACACACACACGCACACACACACACACACACACACACACACACACACGCGTGCGCGCGCGAGCGCGCGCCCCTTGCACGTGCAACCCCCATACGCACCACACCGCCGACATACCCACTTCCTCGCGCGGAATTCCATTCCGTTTTCATTATCCGTGCACACATGCTTGGGTCTCACACATGTTTTATATACATTATATTGCCCATTGCCGCCAAGTGACTCGCGATGGGCCAGAAGCAAACGCGAGGCGCCTACCTCTGAGTAGGATGAGCCACGTTGGGATGGCGATTGTACTTGAATTTCAATAGCATGTCCCTTTTGAGACGATGCGCACCCCCAGTTTTCTCCTCGACCCACGGATTGCCAACCACCACCCATCGCGTTTAGCGTTTCTGGCGCGCTGCACGACTGGACACACACACACACACACACAACAATTACCCTGGCGAAGAACCCAACCCATTGTAAACGAATGGCGCGTATTAGTGGGAACGCTCAATGCACATGGGCATACTCAGAGATCTCCAGTACCCGCGAACGCTTCGCCCAAAGGCGGACAACTGCACCCGAAGCCGCCCCATTCACGCGCGCATTCTCACGATTCGAATCTGATATTGGAAAGCGGCGGCGAATGCACGGCGGAGCACGAGGACGAAGGCAGAGAGAGCAGGAGGAAGAATAACGGGGTCTGGATTTCTTCGGCCGGGCAAACCCACGACAGCTCGCAACCCCGCCCCTGCGCTGCGGGTCCAAACGGGACGAGCCTGAATTCGATTGTAGACTTCCCGTGAAGAGCGCAGGGCCCGGGCCGGAGGCGGCGCGATTGCGCCGCGAAGCTACGTGTCCCGAGCTGTCGTAGGCTTCGGCCGCGCGGAGGAACTTCGAAGCCCAGACTCACGGCGAAGGCTCGGCCGTCTTCCTGCAGGTCCCCGCGCGAGCCAGGAAGCGGTGTGAAGGGTGCGCCGGGTTGAAACCGAGTACGCACGCGAACTTTCCCATTGGAACCTTCGGTGGAGTTCCCTGTTGGGGCATGAAGCGTGTGAAGACTGTGCCGAAATGGACCGAGGACGCATGCGAACCCTGCCACTGGAGCTTTCGGTGGAGCTCCCTGTGGGGGGGGCTACGAAGCGTATGGGGAGTGCGCCGAAACTGGCCCAACTACGCATGTGTACCTATGGGGCCGCCAAACGTGTGAGGGGTGTGCCGAAGTGGACCCGAGTACGCATGCGAACCCTGGCATTGAAGCTTTCGGTGGAGCTCCTCACGGGGCCGTCAAACGTGTAAGGGGTGTGCAGAAGTGGGCCCGAGTATGCATGCAAACCCTGCCATTGGAGCTTTCGGTGGAGCTCCCTCTCGAGCCACGAAACGTGTGAGGGGTGTGCCGAAGTGGACCCGCGTACGCATGCGAACCCTGCCACTGGGGCTTTCGGTGGAGCTCTTTATGGGGCCGCAAAACGTGTGAGGAGCGTGCCGAAACAGGCCCGAGTACGCATACGAACCCTGCCACTGCAGTTTTCGGTGGAGCTTGCTATGGGGCCGCAAAACGCTTGAGGGGCGAGCCGAAATGGACCCGAGTACGCATGCGAACCCTGACACTGAAGCTTTCGGTGGAGCTCGCTGTGGGGCCGCCAAACGTGTGAGGGGCGTGCCGAAGTGGACCCCCCGAGTACGCATACGAACCCTGCCACTGGAGCTTTCGGTGGAGCTCCCGATGGGTCGACGAAACGTGTGAGGGGTGTGCCGAAGTGGATCCGAGTACGCATGCGGATCCTGCCACTGGAGCTTTCGGTGGAGCTCCCTATGGGGCTACAAAGCGTGTGGATTGAGAGCATGCTGATGATGACGACGGTTGTGTTCATGATGGTGATGAGCGGTGATGATGTTGATGATGATGGCGATGGTGATATTGATAATGGTGATGATGTTGTTGGTGTTGAGGATGGCGGTGGTTATGGTGTTGATGATGATAGTGATGATGATGTTGGTGATGGCGATAAAG